CCAGACCCGGTCCTGTTGGTCCCTGTTGGTCCTGTTCTGGTCCTCCTGGTCCTCCTGGTCCAGTTCTGGTCCCGTTCTGGTCCTCCTGGTCCTCCTGGTCCAGTTCTGGTCCAGTTCTGGTCCTCCTGGTCCAGTTCTGGTCCCGTTCTGGTCCTCCTGGTCCAGTTCTAGTCCAGACCCGGTCCTGTTGGTCCCTGTTGGTCCAGTTCTGGTCCTCCTGGTCCTCCTGGTCCAGTTCTGGTCCCGTTCTGGTCCCAGCGCTCCGACTCGCTCCCCCTCCCCCTGCAGGAAGCTGTTGAAGTGATTGCTGCCGCTCTCACTTCCTCCCGGCTCATAAAGCGTTTCCTGTATGGCGCTGCCGGCCGCCAGCGGCGCGAAGCGATCCAAACAGCCATTGTTCTCCGGAAATATCCCTCATGCCCCCAGGGGGCCGCGCAGGCTTTGAAGCCCGGTCCGGTTCTCCCTCTGAGCGCAGCGCTGCGGCGCTCCAGCTCTGGTTCTGGTTCTGCAGAGGTTACAGAGCAGAGTGAGCCCTCTGTCTGCTCGTCCAGCTCTGTTCTCCAGAATCGCCCCAACTTGCTGCTGGATCTTCCCGTCCAGGTCGGTGATGAAACCTGCATCGCCATGGAAACCAGCTGACATCGGTGACAAACACAGCTGCTGCGTTACCCAGCATGCTTTGCCAGACCTCCACTGGGACTGACGCTGCGATTAAACGCTCAGCAGCGTTTCTATAGTTACTAAAACTAACCGAAGACTGAAACAGACGAAACATTTTCTTTAACTGGAATAAACAAAAACGGTAATAATGAAGAAAAACTGTAACTAACTGCAAATATGTTGCACTTTTATAAAACTGAAACTCCTGCAGCACGAAGCTGGTCTGATAAACACCAACAGCAGAAGCTGCAGAAACTCCAGGCGGCCGGTTAAACTGTAACCGATGACGTCTGAAAATGGAAACTTCTGTTATTAATGGGACAATCAGTCACAATGCAAGACTCTAAAACTGTGTGAAAAAACTTAAACTAAACAATATTTAACCAGCAAACACTGTAAAAACTAACTGAATTAGACAAAGTCAGCTGTACTGAAAAACAAAAGCTATTTTAACTGGTTGATTGGAGACGGCGGCCATTTTGCTCATCTGGAGGCCCCGCCTCTCTGATGACTCAGAGCCAATCAGAGGCGGTTTTAGTTTGATCTCAGTTTCAGCAGGATCTGATTGGATCTGATCAGGATCCTGTAGAGGAAAGAGGTCTCACTCTGATGGTGTATTAACTCAGAGGATCTTTGTGCCATCAGCCTGTAACTGTGGTTCTGTCTGGTCCAGCTGCAGGTCAGAACCCGGACCATGTTCTGCTGGGGACCGGCGTGAACCCGGAGGCCCGGCGACCCGGAGAGGACTCCACCATCGCCCCCGAGGATCTGCCCCGCTTCCTCAGCTGCTACTGCTCTGGACACTGTCCTGATGATGCCATCAACAACACCTGCCGGTGAGTACAGCAGGAACAGAACCAGGAGCAGAACCAGAACCAGGAACAGAACCAGAACCAGGAACAGAACCGAACAGGAGGCTCAGAGAGCTGCAGAAGGCTCTGCAGAGCTTTGAGCTTCAGGATGAGTGTAGAAGTGGATGAAGCCATGTTCTCTGGTTCTGGTTCCGGTTCTGGTGTGAAGCCCTGACTAACGGCGGGTCTCTGTGCGTTCAGAACCAACGGTCAGTGCTTCGCCATCATTGAGGAAGATGATAACGGAGAGATCCAGCTCGCCTCCGGCTGCATGAAGTACGAAGGCTCCCACTTCCAGTGCAAGGTAGGGCCATCTCCATGGCAACCAGACAGGAAGTGACTGTCTGTGTGTCTCAGGTGTAGAAACTGATCGTTTGATCTGTTGGGTTGGAGTTAAGCCCGGAGTCTTCCTCACCTGAAGCCTTCATCCTTCCTGTCCTGCTCTCTGATTGGCCGACAGGACTCTCCCAACGCTCTGCCCAGGAGGACCATCGAGTGCTGCAACACAGACTTCTGCAACGAGGACCTGAGGCCCACGCTGCCGCCGCGGGTCTCCACCGGTAGGTGGGCCGCCGGGTCGGGTTCTGCAGAACCCGACCCGGCTCTGACCCACCTGTCTGTCTGTGCAGAGAGCAGCTCTCATTGGCTGGCCTTCATCATCTCCATGACGATCTGCTGCTGCACCCTGATCTGCCTCTCCATCGTCTTCTACTACAGGTTCATACAGACTAAACGTTTGGGAGATTATTTAGTGATTTTCTCACGTTTTTATCGTTTAGTGTCTCTGAATCTTTATTTTTTATTTTATTGAACCAGGAAAATCCCACAGAGAATCCTGGTAAAGACAGACAGCAGAGCAAAACCAGACAAAATGATCACAGTCATAAATGAAACGATAAAAAGATTCGTCAGTTAAAACACTGACAGATGATTCCTTCTCAGTAAAACGGCCTGAAAAACATTTAGAGACGACAAATCCTCAGATTTCTGTTTTTCTGCAGCAGAAACTGAAAACATTAATTTAAAAGTTTGGAGTAAAATAAGTTCTCACAGCTTATCGAAGCCTTTATCAGCTTTGTTTCATAAACTAGAGTCTCAGTCTGGTTTCAATTTAGTTTTTCTATTAATGTTGAAATTTTCATGTTTTATTGTTTTTATGTTTGTCATGTCTAATTAAAATGGACACAGATCAAAATCTTTGCTCATTTTTAGTCTCAGATTCATTTCAGAGTTATTTAATTTTTGATTTATTAAATACCAACATATAGTTTTTATAAACGGTATCAAGATGTCAAAGGTCAGTAAAACCACCAACTCCAGATTGAACAAATGCAGATTATTATAAAAATCTGATCTGTTGTCCAGAAACCAAAGTGTGAAAGTTTCAGCCAGAGGCTGCAGGGCTCCATCGATTTCCACCAGTTAGAGTGGAGTGTGTGTGTGTGTGTGTGTGTGTGTGTGTCCCCCTCTGAGGCTCTCTGTGTGTTTTCAGGTACAAGTGGCAGACGGAGCGGGAACGTTACCCCAAAGACCTGGAGCAGGAAGTCTTCATCCGAGGAGGAGAATCCCTCAAAGACCTGATCCACCAGTCTCAGAGCTCCGGCAGCGGCTCAGGGCTCCCCCTGCTGGTAGGAAGCAGAACGACACTCACCTTCAGCATTACACCCACAGCCAGGTTCTGCTTTCAGCTGCTTGGTGGGCTGGATCAGAACCAGATGGAACTGCTTTGTTTTGTTCTGTTACATCCCGGTCCACTAGGGGGCGTTGTCATGCCAGGAGCTGTTTTCAGGAATGAGTCGGCCGTTCTGGTCCTGGTTTATCAGAGTTCATCAAACTTTTTCAGGCTGAAACCACTGAACCATTTCACAAACACTCATATAAAACACAACCTCTTCATATGTCTGACTTTAAAACGTCTCTTGAGTCACTGTTTGCTGTCCAAAATGTCCTGAGCCGACTCAGATTCTGAAAGTGTGGATTTAAGCTTTCCACTGATGTCAGACACACGGAAATTTAAAAAAAAGTTGTATTTTAGGAACCAAATGTTCTGCACATTAATAACATTTTAGAGCCATTTGTAATTTAGAAGCATAATTAAAGAAAATAGTTTCTTTGTCAGAAACTAGAATCCTCTTCTGCACACATAAATATAAAATCTATCAGTTGTATTTATACTGTTTACATTTGCTGAGTAACTCATTTTTAATGAAAGGTAACGACAGACGTGTGAGCAGAGCTTTAAGCAGGCTAAGCTGTAAAGACAAAGAACAGTTCTCTGAGTCCTCCTGTTCATAGAGTCGTTCAAAAGAATCAAATCGTTAGTGAACGACTCATCAGTTCTCTCAGCAGGTTGACTTGGTTTCATGTCATTAATCCTCTTTTCTTTGACTGACCGGTTTTAAGCCACTTATTGATTATTATTAAACACAATCCGTTGGTCAGCTGGTTGTACTCATGACCCTCCGACATCCTGAGGGACCAGGCCTCTTTCTACCACCAGGGAGGGAACTAAGACATGCAGGATGCCGGGCCCCCTGGACCCACTTTGGGCCCCCTGGACCCACTTTGGGTTCTCTGGACCCACTTTGGGCCCCCTGGACCCACTTTGGGCCCCCTGGACCCACTTTGGGTTCTCTGGACCCACTTTGGGCCCCCTGGACCCACTTTGGGCTCTCTGGACCCACTTTGGGT